ATTTATTGATCCCAAAGGAAATTATGTAGATGTTATCTTTGGACCCCACTTGATGCTGCTGTCCCACATCGGGGTCCTGAACCCAGTTTTTGGAACCACTGTCATTGTGGTCTATTTAACAGAAAATAAGTTTGCTTAAGGTGTCACTTTCTATACAAGATACCCTGGAACAACGTGCACATGGCAGTGGGTTAATTTGTCTCCTGATCAGCTGTCCCCCTTGCCCGACTGGGGAAAAGGGAGAGAGAAAGGGTGTGTGTGTGGCGGGGGTGGGGGACTCCTTCACTCAGGCGGAGAAGTTCAGTTATCTGGATGTTTTGTTCCTGAGTGATAGGTGTGAAAAGATGGAGCAGGAGAGGGGTTAACTGATTGGGAATTCATCTTCAGTAATGGTGTTGTTTCGGTTGGTCATGGTGAAGAAAGAGTTGACTGGAAAGGCAAAGCTCTCATTTTATTGGTTCGTCTACGTTCTAACCTTCATCTGTGGTCTTGAGGTTTGGTTCATGACGGAAAGACCAAGATATCAGATACAAATGGCCGAAATGAGCTTCCTTCGTAGGGTGGCTGGATGAGGAGGCAGGGTGAGGAGCTCGGTCATCCAGGGGGAGCTCGGAGTAAAGCCACTGCTGCTCCACATCGAAAAGAGTCAGTTGAGGTGGTTCGAGTTGATTAGGCTCCCTCCCTTTGGAGGTTTTTCTGGACATGTCCCACTGAGAAGAGTGCTCGAGGAAGACCCAGAACTCACTGGATGGATTGTGTATCTTCTCTGGCATTGGAACGTCTCGGGGTCCCCCATGAGGAGCTGGTGAGTGTGACTCAGGAGAGGGATGTCTGAGTTATTTTCCTGAACTTGTTGGCCTCTGTGACCCGACTCGCATAAACAGTAGAAGATGGATGATTGTTTCTGGTCTCACTGACCCTGTCCTGTGAACAGGACCTCTCTTGTCTCAGCATCAGGTTGGGCTGAGTCAGGTTGTGCTCAGTTTAAAATGTTGCCCCATTAGCGTTCTGTCTCCCCGTTTTTCTCTTCACAGCAAAACCCCAAACATCTCTGAGGCAGCCCAACCATCGAGGGCGAGGCGGAGGTAGAGGAGGAGGAGGGGGCGCTGGCCGTGGGTCGGGACATGGAGACTTCAGACAGATGAGAAACGTAAGAGATGGCCATTCAGAAGGAAAGACTTGGGGGCATTCAAGCAAGTTTTCCAACCAGAACACAGCCAACAAGAAAGGGAACCTGCCTGCAGAGAAGTGAGTCAACCATGATTCTCCGGTAGAACACAGTGATGAAGTTAATTCCAGTTTACTTCTCCTTTTTTGACCATTTTGAGTTGTTTTGCCTGTTTTACTTTTATTGAGACTTTGCTTGACCACATCAGGCTTGAAAAAGGCTTCATATATTCCTTTCAAATAAACTACACCACTTGTATATGGTTAAATTGAGAAATGTTAAAAAGAAAACCCTAAAAGTCCATCCATCCATCCATTTTCTTTACCCGCTTATTCCATTTTGGGTCACGGGGGTCGCTGGTGCCCATGTCCAGCAATCACTGTGCGAGGGGTGGGGTACACCCTGGACGGGTCGCAAGTCCATCACAGGGACACATAGAGACAAACGAGACAAACAACCATTCACTTTCTCACTCACACCTATGGACAATTTAGAGTTACCAATCAGCCTAACATGCATGTTTTTGGTCTGTGGGAGGAAACCGGAGTACCCGGAGAAAACCCACGCATGCACGGAGAGAACATGCAAACTCCACCCAGAAAGGCCCCTGGACCGGGGTTTGAACCAAGGACCTGCTCGCTGAGAGGCAGCAGCTCTACCAGTTGCGCCACCGTGCTGCCCACCCTAAAAGTCCTTATTCTTAATTCAATTCAGTTTATTTATATAGGGTCAAGTCAGAACATTCATATACAAAATAATAATTTAACATTATTTATCTGAGGAGCAGACTGTTTTGAGTTTAACTCCATCGCAGAACTCTCATCTTGAGCAAGCACGAAGGCGACAGTGGAAAAGAAGAATTCTAGAATTATTATTTATTATTAAATTATTATTTATATTATTATTAATTATTAATTATTAGAATAGAGTTCTAGAATTGCGCCGCTCAAGGTGGCTGCATGTTGGAGTAGCTCTGTTACTTTCATTTTGAGATTTTGCTCTTGGAAACTTTAATTCCTCTTTTTGGGGGGTTCCACAAGAGAGGAGCCTGAAACTGAAAGATCTTCCTCACATTCTGCTTTTGGAAACTCTAGGAAACTCGAGTAAACCTGCAGTCTGAGAATGAATTGCTCTGTTAAGAAAATTTGGAACAATAAGATCTCTAATAAAAGATGGAGCTAAGTTGTTGAGGACTTTGTAGGTTAGAAGTAAGATTTTGGATTCAATTCTGAATTTGACAGGGAAACAGAGGGAATCTAAAACTGGAGAGATATGGTATGGTATGAAGTATGGTATGGTATGAAGTTTATTCATTTTAAAAAAGTACAAAACAATTCCATAACAATATATAAAAAGATACAAAAAAATTTAAAATGAAAGGCAGCAGAAAGAAGAAAAAATCTTGATCTCTCCTACTAACTCCAGTTAAGACACTGGCAGCTGCGTTTTGGATCAACTGAAGACATTTTAAAGAAGTATTTGGACACCCAGATAATAAACCATTGCAATAGTCCAGTCTAGACGTGACAAATGCCGTTTTTCTGCATCATTTTGAGATAAGATGTTTCTAATTTTAGCGACATTACGCAGGTGGAAGAAGGCGGTTCTAGTAATGTTTTTAATGTGGGGGATAAAAGACATGGTCTGATCAAAAATAACACCAAGTTTTTAACATTAGCGCTGGAGGACAGATTAATGCCATCCAAGGAGGGAGAAAGACTGAAAACTTTATTCCTAAGATGCTCAGGTCCAAAAACTAAAACCTCAATCTTGTCTGTATTCAGGGTCATCCAGGTTTTTATGTCTTTAAAACATGCTTGTAGTCTAAATAGCTGATTGGATTCATTGGGTTTCATGGACAAATATAAATGTGTATCATCAGCATAACAATGAAAATTTATCCCATGATGTTTACTAACATTACCTAATGGAAGCATATACAAGGTAAAGAGTATTGGCCCAAGCGCTGAACCCTGAGGAACTCCATGACTAACTTTTGTGTATTTTACACAAAGACATACGTTTTAAACACATTTTCTTGAGTGGATGTGAATTCCCTAAAACTAAAGTTGGTATTTTGTACTACAGAACATTGTTTTTTATATATAAACATGTAACCAGAATGTTTTCCGGTTTATATTTACCAGTATCGCTATTAATACCAATATTTCTGTAAACAGGTTAAACTCTAGTTTGTTGCCTCTCTGCTTTTGCTCATTCAACCCTCGGTTTACAAAGAGGTTTCTAGGTTTTTCTGCATTCACACTCTCTTTTCCTCTTTTCCTTTTATGGCTTCTTGTTGGTTCAAACCAACATCTAAAATCTGTTCATTTTGTCACCATCCTCTACTGACATCCTGGAATGTCTGACTCATTATCGATTCAAATCATCTTCTATTACTTAAAGAACAAAGATGAATTTGTTGTTTCCACCCAGCCGCTTCGAAAACAACTGGCATCAGTTCCCTCACCGTGCGGTCCGGTGTGCTGCTGACCCCTTTGCAGCACATTGGGGCACCAGGATGGAAGCTCTGGCCTATTGGCAGGGGACATGAGCCCAGCCTGGGTGTGGGGGGACGTGAGCCTTTTTAATCCCTCCTCTATTCTCTGGTAGATTAACTCTTTTAGACCAGCACTGAGTGAATCAGCACTTCTCTGTATCCCTTTATTTCTTTCTGTGTACAGGCCAACATCATCATTTATGTGTGGTAAAACAAAAAAACAATACACATGTCCAACATTGAAGTACACGAGAACATTTTGTTGAAATGACCACATAAAAAACTAGTAAAATCTGTGTATTTGGGAATTTTAGAGCATCTGATTCTAAGCCTATGTTACCACTGCCTTGGGAACAAATGGAGATGAGGTTGTATAGGTTGTAGAGTACACTAAAATACAGGTTCCTTTACTTTGTGAAAATATAAATAATACTTTCTATTAAAATAATCTCAAAGAACATGTAACCAAGTAAAATGTTGGGATTTGCCATCAAAAGGAGATACCGTAAAAAGACCTTTTTTGCCCCAGTCGATTAGACTGAAGCCACATTTTGACCAGATTTATTTGTTTGTTTTTGGCCTCAAAGACTTGCTTATTTAAGCTAAGTCAAAAAATATACAAGTTATTTTGATTTGTTAAGGCATAAATTAAGCTTTAAACACAAAACAATAGGACTAATAGTGCTCCTCTGTTTTTTGGAGTTCCACAGGGCCCTATTTTAGGTCCCCATTCACTGTGCATTTTAAAACTCTTTTAAAAACTCGTTTTTATTCCCTGGCTTTTGGCACAGCCTGAGATTTGCTCTGCACTACTGCTTTTACTAATATTAATGTTTTAACTGTTTTATTCATTTATGTGTTTAAATGTTTTTGAGTGTATGCGTACAGCACTTTGTTGCAGCTGTGGTTGTTTTAAAGGACTTTATAAATAAAGTATTATTTACATTATTATTACAGACCCACAGCACTCTTCCTAAAGCTGTGTTTAGCTCTTTTCATTGCCCCTAGTTTTTCTGGTAATCATGAAAAACTTGACTCCCTCTCTCATCTTTTAAAATGGTTGTACAGACTCACAATACATTTAATCATTTTGAGCTTACAAGGCCTGATCTGACAGTTTTCACTAATATACACAGCAAAACTGAAAGATAAATCTTCAATAAACAATTTTATTTACAAATACCCACATTTTTATATGTCTATCGAAGAGCGGAGCGGAGGTGCTACTACCCAGAATGCAATGCGCTGTAACTCTAATATAATTTCCTCATTGTATCACTGCAGATCAGATGCAAATACTAAAGTTAGTAAATAAAGATGGGAGAAAAATAATATATGGATCAAACCAGGACCCACACTGCATTGTCTAAAGACTAATCAGTTAAGATACTAAAATAAAAACCCTAAAAAGTCTTCAAAGCTTTCTAAAGTTTTTAGGTTAGACTTTGAGATGCCACCAGGTGCATTTTTATACATCTTTATTGCTTTGCTACATATAAGAAAACCTAATATATGTAGGTATTTAGATTTTATATTTATTCAAAACAATTACATCAATGTGTTTTAAACACCCTAGAAAAGACAATACTTGTAATTTTCTTTCTTGTTTTGCCATTCAATGAAGTGTATTGTAACTGCATCTGTATTTGGTTCTGGTGCGTACAGACCAGAGAAGAGGATGACCCTCCCGTCACGGTTTCAGAAGGAGGTGCACGCTCACCTTGCAAGAAATCCCCAACAGGCTGATTGTAAGTAGGACATGTTTGAGCATTTGAACTAAAAGTACATTTTCTGTACCTTTTTGTTGATTACACAAGCATGTTGCCAAGACCCAACTAAGAAAATTTTCTAATTTTAATACTGTACGATCATGCACTAATGTCTAATAACTTTCCTTGTTGGGGTTGCAATAGACAGAGCTTACTTTGTTTACACATATTCCAGGAGAAATTTGATGTTAGCCTGCTTCGACGTCAAACGTTGGGAGTCCGATTCAGATAAGCCACAGTTGTTGATTTTTTTTCAGGCAGACTGTTTTTTCTTGTCAGCCTTGAGTCCTGCTGGTACTTTTAATCCAAAATGGCCAAATTTGTGAGCATTCCACTGGTCCATGCTGATTAGCTCCCTCCAAGGTCGTCCCCAACATGCTGGCGAGTCCCAAAGCCACAAGTGGTCTGGGATTCTCACACATCGCTTCCATCTTACGGTTTAGCTCGTAAATCAGCTGATTTTGAGTGCTCGAAGCATGAACCAAACCTGCAGACAGGGGCGGCAGCTTTGCCATGGCCAAAACTTCTGCCGCCGTCTTCTTTAATAGCCGATAACATAGGTAGCCGCCAGTGCCAAAAAGTAGAAATCCTGCTATTATGATTCCAATATCTTCAGCGTCCTCCTGAGACAATACGGAAAGGCACATCAGATCCATGACGTATCCTGCCACGTGCATCTCGGTGGGGTATGAGGGTTCTCCAGGACCCTTTTGCATTGTTAAAAATTTTTTTATCAATTGCATTAAAAGTCCAGCTGACCAGATCCATGACAGTAGTTTACAAAGAAGAAAAAAAACGTTTTATGTCAATTTGGGTTTTAGCGCAAAAATAGAGGTATTTACTTTGTAGGAAGTAGCAGAATATCTTTTCCCAGCACTAAAGCCTCCGATTCAAATTCCTCGTATGTTTATTTAGATTGAAAAGACATTTAAAATTTCCAAAGTTACGAACAAGCAGGAAAAACCTTCATGTTTGTTTAAACCTTTTTTTTTTCTCTCAGCACCGTTGAATTTAAATGAGGGTTTTGGTTCAGGAAGAGGAAAACCTTGCAACCCTCAGCAGGTTCAGGATCGCATCAGAGAGCTCCTGGGAAAGTACAGCAATGGATTCTGGGTATCAAAACTGCCCCAGATCTACAGAGAGCTTTACAAACAAGACCTGCCCTCAGAGGCCCTCAGAGACCTGGACACCTGGACCCACATATGCACGGTATGGATTTTACTTTGTTTTTATTATAGACTTTTTTTCTTGTGCTTTAAATTTTTTTCAGAAAATTTAACTTTTAAAGCAGTGTGATTTAAAATACACAGCATTTCCCTTTTTTACTTTGATGTAGTGAGGAAACACAGTTGGAGTGCCTAATCTTCATAGTTGAATGTTTGTTTTTGTTACGATTTTGTTCTTCAAAATATCGAACAAAAGCTTCACTTGGCGTAAACCGATCAACTCCATACCTTTCGACGTTTTCTTCTTTAGAGACTGGTTCTACAGCTTTGTTCTACTTTGTGAATGGAATTGAGACACAAATTTCACTCAACTCACAAAGGTTTGTAATATTTTATGTAAGAAAGTGAACAGTAACTGGGCAGGGAGCTCACACAAACGCATACCAAACTGATAGTTTAATACTTGTATGGAAATTATATTTCCAAGTATTTGAAATACATTTATCTGGTCTGCAGTTTTGTGACAAATGGTACTGATCTATTTTAAGCCCAAATCATCTTTTAAATCATTTGAAGGTTGATACATTATTTGGGTGGTTTTGTTTTCGTTCTCCGATTGAAAGATCAGCAGTTTGATCCCCGGCTCCTGTAGTATGCCATAGTGTCCTTAGAAAAGACAGTGTACCACCCAATTATATGCTTACTGGTGTATGAGCAATAATATTTGTCAACCCATAAGACCTAAAACATTACTTCAATACATGAAGTAATGTTCTGCCCAGCCAGCGGGTTTTAGACGAGTCAAAACAATTGTTGAAATCAGGAAATCTTGAAACAAATTCTTAAAATTCAACAGTCAGAAAGATAAATTGTGAGATTTGCAAGGCTCCTGAGATCTTCAAGCTGTTTTCTGAACATAAACTTGAGAATCTTTTGTGTAGAAATGGTACAGTAGAATAGGACCAAGCACTACACCCTGAGGTGCACCCTCTGACAGGCTTCTAAAGAGATACAAACATTAAAATGAACTGTAAATGTTTTGTAATATTGCAAATTCTTTATAAATCAATAATAGAACTATAAGACATGAAAAGTCTTAATAGGACATGACAATCTAAACTTTCTTTAGGCACATAAACCATTTTTTTTCCTTCTAGGTAGAGAAAACCTGCAGCAGCAACCCATCTGAGCTGCTCATCTACCCTGCCAAGGAACAGACCATCACATCCACCTCCTCACCCATCACCAGCTCAAACCCCACCGCTCTCCTTGCTGAAACGCCAAATTCAAGCTCAGAGAAACCCTTGCCGTCCCCAGCCCAACAGCGACCCCCCCGCACTCATTTGTCTCGCTCTGGCTCCCAGTCTTCTCGGTCTCCACCGTCATCTTCCTTGTCACCCAGCCCTCCTTCCTCCCCTGCAACCCTTAGCCCTGAAATGAAGCAGAAACTGGAGGAGCTGCTGGTGAAGTACTCGAATGGTCTGTGGGCCCACGCATTGCCCAAGCTCTTCCAGGACACTTACAAAGTCAGTACTAACGTAATACATACATGATTTACCTATCTGGTGCACTCCATGATATTATTTTATCTGGTTCTTTACAAGGTTAAACTGCCTGGACATGTCCTGGAGAACCTAGACCTCCTCTCTGACATTTGCACCATCGACTACCCAATGCCTGACAACCCCAAGAGGGCCATCCTGTACAGGCGAAGCAGCTCTGAAAACCGAGAGAACAAGAACTGTAGCAGGAGAAGCTCCTCTACAAGTGAGGAGGAGCTGAGAGTAAAGAAGGAGGTGGGGAGGAGGCTCAGTTACCAAAAAGTGCCTTCTCTACAGATCCCCAAAGAAGAGTACCCATCTGTCCTGGTGATTGAAGCCACCAATACCAATGAAGTTATCCTCAGGTGGGGAAAAACCTGTGCAAGTGAACGTCCTGCTTAGATCGAAATGTCTCACTGTCTGCATCTCCTCTTCTTATAGGTACATTGGTGAAGGTTACTCCCAGGCACAGGAGTCCATGGAAGATGAGATGAGGGAGTTTTATGGCTTGGACCAAAACCGCCTAACTCCTATGTCATCTCCGACATCTGGCCAACTCGTTGCTGTCAGGGCTGAGGAGGAGGAAGTTCTGAGAGCGCAAATCTGTGACGTCTTGGCTGATAAAGTCAAGGTAAGCAGCGAGGAACAGAAAGTGATAAAAGGTGAGTGAGATATAAATAATCCCTCTATTGTTGGTTCTGCAGGTTTACTTTGTGGACCATGGCTTCTCAGAGGTGATCAGCAAAACCAAAGTGTTTGAGCTCCACGAGAAGTTTTTCAAGCTGCCTTTCCAGGCGACCATGTGTAGACTGGCAGGCGAGTCTCTGGCTCATAAGGATGATCCGATAATGTGAAGAGACGAGACCTGAATTTAGAAAATGTTTGTTTTTTTGTATCTGTCCAGGCCTGGAACCGTTCTGTCAGGAGCCCGCGATGCTGAAGAGGTTTGAGACGATGGCGACCGGCAGGATCCTCTTGGCTGAGATCTTAGAAACAGGGAAGCCTCCTCTCGTCGTCCTGTACGACACATCTCAGGACGACGATGTAAACATCAACGCTGCCTGCATCAAAGCCCTGCAGGACAAGACATTAGCAACTCCGCTACAGGTACAGGAGAGGTTTGTGTGCACTCGGAGACGGATGAGTTCATCTCGACTAAATGTCTGTTTGTCCTCAGGTGAACAGCTCTTTCATGAACGTGGCAGTCAGCAACGTCTGCTCAGATGGGACTATTTACTGTCAGCTGCCATCCAGAGGACTCACAAAGCTGAATGAGATCATGGAGAAGATAGAGACATACTTCCACTTACAGGTAAACAAGCTCTATGTGTTGTCCAATAGCTTTGTGCCAAAAAAATACTTGAAGGAAAAGTAATTCAAAAGAGTTTAGCATATAAAAGATTAATGAACCCAGCTTTGAAAACCGTTCTATTGTCCATCTGATGCCTATTTATATACATAATTTATGCTGTAAATTATATTAAGAAATTTGTCTTCTATATTTAAGACTGAAAAGGCATTTATGACAAAAAATAATTTATTTCTCGTCTTAAAACCCGTGGTTATTCCATACAATTGCTCATCCAGCTTCATTTGTTGTGCAGATTTTATTTGTCTTTGCTTTTCTTTTGATTTCTTTTATATAATTAAGTGGCACACTCTCAAAAACAGTATACTTAGCCTAAAAACAAAGTCGCCACCCAAAAAAAAAGGTCACGCACTAAAATTTTGTTGGACCACCTTTAGATTTGCTGCGACATTGTTTCAATAAGCCTCTGTAATGTCACCAGATCTATTTTCATCCAGTGTTGCATTAATTTTCCACCAAGATCTTGCATTGACGATGGCAGATTCTGACCACTGCGCAAAGCCTCCTCCAACACATCCCAAAGATTCTCAATGGGGTTAAGGTCTGGGCTCTGTGGTGGCCAGTCCATGTGTGAAAATGATGTCTCATGCTCCCAGAACCACTCTTTCACAATTCGAGCCCGATGAATCCTGGCATTGTCATCTTGGAATATGCCCGTGCCATCAGGGAAGAAAAAATCCATAGATGGAATAACCTTTTCATTCAGTATATACAGGTAGTCAGCTGACCTACTGTACAAGCCCCACAGGCTTGTGACACTAGGCATGATGGGTGCATCACGTCACCTGCCTCTCTTCTTACCCTGACGTGCCCATCACTCTGGAACAGGGAACAGTTCTTAACCCAATTTTAGTAGTTTCTGAAATCTCCTTAGATGTTTTCTCTGCTTGATGCATGTCAAAGATTTGACCCTTCTCAAAACTGACTGACATCTTTTCCACGACCACACAATGTGTCATTCGACGTGGTTGTTTAAGAAATGAGAAGCAACTCATTGCATCAGTTGGGGTTAAATAACTTGTTGCCAGCTGAAAGATAATCGCCCATGCAGTAATTATCCAATAGGATAATTCCTGTTTAATTGTCTTTTTAACTTTTTTCTTTTTTTCTTTTTTTTACTCCAATCATTGAAAATCAGTGTCACAAATTTCTGCCAGCTCTTTTTCTTGGTTAGCAGCTGAAACGTTCAGTTGCCAAAACTGTGACATCGCCCTTATGGACAGACTGAGATTAGGCAGCTAATCTGGGGTTAAGACATTGTCGAGCCACTTAATCTATCAGCAGCACAGGAAGTGGAGTCTCCTGGTTGTACCTCTGCTGTCCTGTACAGCATTTCCACTTTACTTTACTTTTTCAGGGTGTCCTCTTCTTCTCGCACAGTGATGGCTAGACATGGGCGGTGCACCAGTGACCCCCGTGACCAAAAAAGGAAGAAGTGGGTAAAGATAATGGATGGATGGATGGTTAAGATAAAACCAATCAGAGAAAAAAGAGCTTTTTTTAATTTAGCTTCTTTTTCTGATAACTTTCTAAATGCATAACAGTACCATTGCCAATTATTCATTGGATGAAGAAGGACATTTTAGGGATTGAAAGACGTTCACTCTTGGGATATATGCTGCTTTTATCCTCGTCAAATATCAACAAGCACAAACTAGAACCGTAAATGTTTGGAATCATGGCAGCAAACAACAAAGTTAAGTCAGGTCCTCTGGACGGTTTCTTTCTGTTGAGACATTTCATCTTTCATCCAAAAGACTTCATCAGTCTTATAAATTGCACCCTCACATCGTGGGTCAACCAGTTTGATGGTGCTAAGATGGTTTCTGGAGTTCGCCCTCTCCCCCCCGCCAACTTGTTTGAGGCAGTCATGACTAAAGTGGTTCAAAATATCAAAGTTCATGCTAGGAATGTGCGATATATGCAGTACACGGTAGAAACAATAGACATTTAGTCTATGATAGAGATCTGTATTCTACTGGCTAACTGCAGTAATGCTGTGTCTGATGTTTGTCAGATTTAACAATTACGTTTTTTTAGTTGAAAACTGCGTAAATGGTGTTAGTCTTTTTTCTTCAAGAGCTAAGTAGTAAAGCTACAAGCTAACTATGGCCGGCTAGCCGTACTGTTGCCGTATTTGGACGCATGTGCAAAACACTGTGTTCCGTCAGAAGTTAAAGTAAACGTTGGTCAGCTTTAGAGAGTGCATTTGTGCTTAATAAAAAGGGTTAAACCTGCTCTCTGATCTGTGCAAAGAACGCTGTGTTGTGTGATTTTACTGCAAGACCCTCTCTGGTCAAAGCCACAGAGGAAACTGGTCGCCATTTTGTGTCAGCTCTCCTTAGAGCGGAAGGAGATGCCCACTAGAGGAACCCCTCCTTTGGCTTTGAAGCCAAACCTTCGTCTGTCAGAAACGGACCCACGGGACTGGTGGAGACTGCACCAGGCTTATTTTCCAAGAATGGCAAGACTGGCCAAGAAATACCTTTACATTCCAGCCACGAGTGCTCCTTCAGAAAGGGCATTTAGCATTGGTGGCAACATCGTTTCATGACACCGGTCTCTGTTAAAGCCAGAGACTGTGGACAAGCTAGTGTTCTTGGCCAACAATCTTTAGACTCTAACAAATGATCAAGTGTTTTCTGCTGTTCATTTCTTAATTGAGAAGATTGGAAACTGTTAAGAGTTAACGACATATTCTTTTGTTTAAAACATATGGCTAAAACTGTATTTGATATGTTTTGCACTACAAGAAAGAAGCTTAATATTTGATTTGTTTTTTATTTAAAAACTCTCTGGATCTAGTAGTGGAATTTTCTTGATTGCGATTATTTTGTGGTATAGCAGTGGTCAAAATAAATGCTGGCAAAATGATACCCTATGTTTTTTTTCATTCCGATTGCAAGTTTTATATATCGTGATATATATCATTACCGCCACCCATCACAATAGATATCATGATATGAATTTTATGTCATATCGCACATCCCTAGTTTATGCTTATAATCCAGGTAGAAAAATCCAACAATTTTAAGTCAGGTCCTCTATGGATTCTTCACTTTGGCCATGACCGCCTCAAATGAGTTGGTGGAGGAGAAGGTGGACTCCAGAAACCATCTGAGCACCATCAAACTGGTTGACCCACGATGTGAAGGTGCAGTTTATAAGACTGAGTTTGTTGCAGCTCCTCAGACTGATGGATTTTTCTACCTGGATTATTGAGCATGACTCGGTACCTTTGCCGTAGATTGGGTAGATCATTGAAGGGCTTTTGTACCCCAGTTATTAAACAACAGCTAAAAATAGTAATTAAAGTTACATTTAAGAATGATAGCTCATGTTTTTAGTCTTCAAAGTAGTGATTTTTTTTTGTTCCAGGTGACATCAGAGCTCTTGGTATCCAGACCGTTTTGTGGAAAAGGATGTCTGGCTCGCTATAAAAGCAAATGGTCTCGAGTTGAGGTAAGATGGAACTACTGCCTGCAGAAAACTAATATCAGCCTGATGAAAGAAGTAAAACTAAACTTACACAAAAGGAAAAAGTTTTTCTCCTTTATTTAGATCTGATCAGAAAATGTGGTACAACTCTTGAATCAGCGACACTATCAAATCCAAGGTTTAGTGTTTGCTCAGAAAAGAGCAGTACAATATTTTTCGGACTATAAGGCGCACTTAGAATCCTTGAATTTTCTCAAATGTCCACAATGAGCCTTATAATCCAGTGTGCCTTATGTATTAATTCTGGTTGTGCTTACTGACATCGAACTGATTTTATGTGGTACACAATACTCAAAAATGTGTCAAAATGAATTTATTTCGCTTAATACGTTTTATAATCCGGTGCGATTTATAATCCTAAAAAATACAGTACTCTGTTCACAGATGTGTTAGTTTTTTTAACTTCATATGAATATGCGCTTCCTGTTTCCAAACTCAGATCATCAACCTGCACGGCAGCAGAGTTTTGGACGTTTTGTTCATTGACGTGGGCGTCCAGGTTTCTGTCGAGGTGTTTGAGCTGAGAGAGATCCCATCGCTCTTCCTCCGGGATCTCGTAGCTATCCCACCGCAGGTCAGCAAATTTACTTTTAATCGGAGCGCGAAAAGCTGTCATTCGCTGGTCCCTGCAAAAACTGAACAAAACGAGATGCAAACAACTTGTGTTCAGGTTGTGAAGTGCTGTCTAGCAGACCTGGCTGTCAGTGTCGGATCCTGGACTCCAGAAGCCGTCCAGTGGCTTCGGGAGAAAGTGTTCAACGCCACGGAATGTAGCATGAAGGTAAACCGCTCTCTGCCCTGTCAAATATGCTTATACTGTCCAGATAGTTTGCAAAACATTTACAGTGTATGGAGTTAGGAGGATCATTTATCTTAGAAACAATCAAATAAAACCCTCGTAGGTTCAAGAGTAAGAATAAAATTGCTTTTCAGTGTAAGATAAAAACGTATTTTCCTTTTAATGAGCAATTTATAGAACTGTCACTGTAAACTGGTCTATAATTTAAAATTAAACCTAATTTAAAATTCAATAGTTCATAATAATTCATGATTTAAAATTCAAGACTATCCCTTTCTTGCTGCCTTCAGAGTTTAACATAAGATTATATTTTGTTGATTAATGATGGCGCGATGATTATTAATTGATTAGCTATTTTAAATAGGGTGTCTTTCATATCTTTCCAGTGATTCATGAGCTATTTTGCTAACAGACAGAGTTGACTTTAGTTAATGGCAAAGTTTAAAGCAATTTAAGCATTAGAATAGTTGTTGCCAGCCTTTTGCTTTATAAAATAACTAATATAATTAATTCTTAGGGGTGATCATTTGGGATATTTTGACAAAGAAGCCGAGTACTGATGTGTACAATTACATTACTGTGTATCCGCATCAGTGCCTCTTTCCTATGGGGTCCCACAGGACTCGATTCTTGGACCCCTTTTGTTTTCACTCCATCTGCTCCCTTTGGGGTCTTGAGGAAACATGGCCTTTAGTTTAATTGTTATGCTGATGATTGTCAGATTTATCTGCCCTTAAAACCCAACAGTTCCTGTTCCATTTGATGTCTTGATGACATTAAAGTACAGATGGCTTCAATTTTTTTAAGTTTTAACGAACAGAAGACTGAAGTCATTGTGTTTAGCCCTAGCTCTACTGCTGTCTCTGATCCTGTAAATCTTGACTCTTTACCTTAATCAGTCCGTTACCAATCTCAGGATGGTTTTAGGCTCTGACTTTAGGTTTAATAAACAAATTAACTCTATTCTACAAAAAAGCTTCTTCCAGTTAAGGCAGATAGCTAAGCTTAAGTCCATGTTGACCAGTTCTGACCTTGAAAAAATAGTCCATGTGTTCGTTACAACCCAGCTAGACTACTGTAGCGCGCTTTATGTTGGGGTCGGTCAGGTGTCCCTCTCACGTCTCCAGCTCGTCCAAAATGCTGCAGCTCGGCTATTAACAGGAACTCGTAGGTTTGAGCACATTTCACCAGTTTTGTCCTTCCTTCACTGGTTCCCTGTGCGTGTCAGAATTGATTTTTAAAATTCTCCTGTTGACCTTTAAGTGCATAAATGGCCTTGCACCCTCGTATCTCTCTGACCTACTTCAAACTTATGTCCCTTCTCGGCTGCTGAGATCATCAGACCAGCTGCTTTTGGTTGTACCAAAAACCAGGTTGAAGCTCAGAGGAGATCGGGCTTTTTCAGTCGTGGGCCCTAAATTCTGGAACAATCTGCCCCCCAAACATTAGACAGGTCACTTCACTTCCTGCTTTTAAATCTCTCCTAAAAACACACCTGTTTTCACTGACGTTTAACACAGGCTGGTTTGGTATATCGTTGTTTCTCATTGTTTTGTGTTTGTATACTTTAAATCACATCTTTTTTTTTTTTTTTTACTGCCTGATCTCATTGTTAAGCACTTTGGTAACAGCTGCTATTTTAAACGTGCGTTATAAATAAATATGACTTGACTTGATTACTGCCCACACTCCTCCTCCTCGAACCCTTTCCTTCCCAGGTAAACTTCAGCGTTCCACTTTTCTTTCACATTTTCCCTCCTAATAAACTTCTACACTCTCCAGGTTGCCAAAGTAGATGAAACCAGGAGCTGCACGTACGTCCGCTTGTTTACCGACAAGAACTTCCACGACCCAACTCGCAGCCTCAACCACCAGATCGCCCAGTCGGACCTGTTCAAACAGCAGCCAGACGTCATTTTGACGAGTCACAGGTCTCTGTCGGTTTTTACGCTTCTTTAACGTTTCCTCAGACTTGCTAATATTTTGAACAGCTGTAGTAAGTTTGAATTTAAGTGTTTTCTTTCAGAGACTTAATTAGTTTGGGACTCCCTGAAGGCAGCACCTGCTATTATCCACCTGAAAAGGTTCCTGCTCTTCTATCAACTTTAATGTGGCCCGAACTGCAACGTGTAACAAATGTTAGATCAAAACAACCGGCTCGGCACCATCATGTGTGCTATTACTTTTATTGGCATTTAGAGTTACCATGGCAACGTAATTTGCAAACAAAGACGCCATTTTTCCCATTGAAAAACACTGACAGAGCTCTAAACACCTTCTAACTGCCACAGTGAGGTCACATGA